AGGAAATTGGCTCACGTGATTGTGGGAACAGAAGACTCTGAAATCTTAAGGTCAGGCCAGCAGGCTGGAAATTCAGGCGAGGGTTAATGCTGCAGTCTTGAAGCAGAATTTCTTCTCCAGGAAACCTCAGTTTTTTTCTGAATGTCTCCAACTGATGGAATAGGCCTCATCAACATTATCAAAGACATTCTCTTTTACTTAAAGTCAACTGATTGTAGATGTAAACCACATCTATAAAATATCCTCACTGCAAAACCCATGTTAGATTAAATAACTGGGTGCTGTAATCTAACCAAGTTGATACGTAAGACTAACCCTCATATTAAGTTGTAGCTTTCACTTATTTATTGGGTATGTTCTTACAGAGATGTTATTTTGCTTTGTATTTTCTTTTTCTTATAACAACTGTGTGAAATTAGACTGTAATCCTTTTTCTGTTGCTTTTTTTTTTTTTTAACATGAAATTGATTTACCTGACCTTTAAGGTGGGGTGGGTCAAAATAACTTTTTTAACTTCATAGTTTTAGAGTTACCTCTTCTGTTGTTTTGTAAAGTGTCCAAAAATAAGGCTAATACTTTTGAGATCTCCAGATTCTGTTTCCCTCTCTCATTAATCAGTAGTTTTTCTTTCCTTTGTCTTTATTGTCCTTTTCCAGCTCAACTGGGATTCTTTTCCCTTCATTACACATCCTTGTCCTGGAAGCTATCTTTAGATCCTTGGTTTTGGTGTTCATAGATCCTAGCTTCTTCTGCCCCTTCAAATATTATCATGGACCTCTTGGACTTAGAAACTGAGAAGTACAACAACCCCTCTGGTTAGAGTTGCTATATTCCAGTTGTCCTGTCTTGGTTTCCAGTGAATACCTATCACTGATTTCAATGTTCTTCTCTTCTGAGTGAAAGGTCCCCCAATAATGTGTCCGTGATTAAAGGAGCGAGACTGATACAAAGCGAAGGTCAAGCAAAGCTTTATTTAACACCAAGCATCAAGAATCAAACCGAATGTTCTGGGCCGTGCCTCTTACAGAGAGGGCGACCTCTCTCTGCTTCACAGACTAGCTTTTAAGGGTAAAGGCCATGTGGTTGGGCCTGGCCACGCACAGGTGGCCAATGAAATCGTAACACACAGAGAAAGCTGCACAGTCATGTTAGGTCACACATAAATGACCAATTGAATTACAATTCACCCTAGTAGATATTTGAACCAGCCTATCACCTTGGTTAGAATTGGCGCCCAAAAGGTGCCCAAAGGGCAGGGCCCATACTTCTTGGTAACTAGGGAGACAGTATGCACTCCCGCACTGATCAGAGGTCTCCACCTGGCCTGACCCACCCTTGTATTTGGGCTTTGTTACCTGGGACTGGTTTCCGGGACTTGTTTTTAAGTAAGTCCCCTGGGGGAAGGGGGGCAGGGACAGTTTAAGTTTTAAACAAAAAAGTTATTGTTTAACTGGATGGAAGCACTCTGGCTAAATAGGTCCTTACACTGAGGTCTACCATATTTGCTTTCTTTTGTTGTCTTATGCTGATATCATGTGAGTCTGGTTGTTTTAGCTAGCTTGTTCCAACCCACTTATACTTTGGGATTTTGAGGAATACTTTGTCACTAAGTTTTATTGTTGACATTATCCGGTGTTATTGTTTTTTCTTGGTACTATCCTAATTGTCTTCTCTGTGCCTACAAGGAAATTTGAGTAGATTGAAAAACTACATCACCACTAACCCTTCCCAATTCATTTTCTTTTGCAAATGCCTCCTTTTGCATCCTTTCTTTTACTTTTTTGGTTTTCTCTGTTGTTATTTTATTAGCATCTTTACTGAGAACCAAGTTCATTCACTTTCAAACTACCTTATTTCTTTTGTATATATTTAAGGCTATCAATTTCATTTTAGGGATTATTTATACTATATACTACAACTTTTGAAAACATTGAATGCTTTTATTCTTTAGTTATAAATATTTTGTAATTTCCACTGTGATTTCTCCTTTACTTCATGAATCATTTGGAAGTAAAGTTTAGGTTTTGTTTTCTTTTTTTCCTTTAAGAATTACAAATATCTTAGGAATTTCTTCTGGCTAACTTTATGAGAAATTCTAATTTTATTTCATTAATATCAAAGACATAGTATGTGTGATGATAATTCTTTGAGATTCGCTAAGACTTCTGTAAATATGATCAATTTTGCTAAATGTTCTATGTGAGATTGGAAAGAATATATTTTATTTTATATTGGCTAACTTTATAGGTTTATGTATAGGTTTATCTTTAGCTTGGAAAAGTGTGTCAAAAATCTACCACTGTATTTGTGGCTTTTAAATTTTTTCCTGGTACTTCTATCATGCTTTATATCAATACTTTATATAATGTATATGTTCAATGTAATCCCTATCAAAATACCAACAGCATTTTTCACAAAATAGGAATAAATAATACCAAAATTTGTATGAAGCCACAAAAGACCCCAAATAGCCAAAGCAATATTGAGAAAGGACAAAGCTGGGGGTATCACAACCCCCAGTTTTGAGATAAACTACAAAGCTATAGTAATGAAAATAGTATGGTACTGGCACAAAAATATACACACAGATCAATGGAAGAGTAGAAAGTCCAGAAATAAACCAATGAATATATTGTCAATTAGTCTATGACAAAGGATGCTAGAATATACAATAGGGAAAGACAGTCTTTTCAATAAAAAGTATTGGGGAAATGAGACAGCTTCATGTAAAAGAATGAAATTGAATTACTTTCTTATACCATATACAAAAATAAACTCAAAATGGACTAAAGACCTAAACTTGAGACCTGAAACCATAAAAATCCTAGATGAGAGCACAGGCAGTAATTTCTCTGACATTAGCCTTAACATTTTTCTAGATGTCTCCTATGCAAGGAAAACAAAAGCAAAAACAAACTATTGGAACAATATCAGAAAAAAAACCTTCATAGCAAAGAAAACCACCAATAGAACAAAAAGACAACTTACTGAATGGGAGATGTTATTTGCAAGAGACGTATAGGATATAGGGTTAATATCTGAAATATATAAAGAACTTATACAACTCAACACTGAAAAATCCCCCAAATAATCCAGTTAAAAAATAGGCAAAGGACATACAGATGGCCAACAGAGACATGAAAAGATGTTCAACATTACTAATCATCAGTGCAAATTGAAATCACAGTGAGAATATCACCACACAACTATCAGAAGGGCTAGAATCAAAACCATAATAAATAACAAGTGTTAGTGAGGATGTGGAGAAAAAAGAACTTTTGTGCACCGTTGGTGGGAATGCAAACTGATGTAGCCACTGTGGAGAAACAGTATGGAGGTAACTTTAAAAATTAAAAATAGAGGGGCACTTGGGAAGCTAAGTTAGTTAAGCACTCGGCTCTTGGTTTCAGCTCAGTTCATGATCTCAGGGTCACAGGATCAAGCCCCACACAGAGCTCCATGCTCAGCGTGGAGTCTGCTTAAGATTCTCTCCCTCTGCCCCTCCCCCTTCTCAAGATGTCTCTTACTCTCTCTCTCAAATAAATCTAAAAAATTTAAAAATAGAAATACCACATGATCCAGTAATTCCAGTACTGGGTATTTACCCAAAGAAAATGAAAACACTAATTCAAAAAGGCGTGTGCACACCTATGTTTATTGCTATGTTATTGACAATAACTAGATACAGAAGCAACCTAAGTATCTATCAATAGATGAATGGATGAGGAAGATTGCTTATCAAAAGATGAATGGTTAAGAAACACACACACACACACACACACCAGAATATTACACAGCCATATCAAAGGATGAGATCATGCTATTTGAAACAACATGGGGGACTGAGAGGGTATATTAAGTGAAATAAATCATACTGAGAAAGACAAATACCATATGATTTCACTCATAAATGGAATCTTAAAAAACAACAATGACAACAACAAATGAATAAAAGGCAGAATCAGACCTATAAATGCAGAGAACAAACTGATCATCTCCAGAGGGAAGGGTGATGGGTTGGGCAAAATGGGTGGATGAGAGTGGGAGGTATAGTTGTGTGTCATCTATACTCAAAAGAATTGTTTTGCTTTATATATTTCAGGGTTATGTTATATCTTCTGGTGATTTTTTCCTTTTTTTCTTCTTATACATTGTCATTAATCCTATAATTTAAATTTATGACAGAGCTGGTATTATAATCCCCATTTTACCTCTAAAAAAACTGAAGCAGTATTTACAGATGTATATCTACATGAAATGACTACATGTGTTTGTGCACATAATTGTTACTATAAATGTGAAGTTGGGTTCCAACCCTGGCTTAAGAAGAGGACCAGGGGAACCTGGGTGGCTCAGTCAGTTGTGTCTGACTCTTGATCTCAGCTCAGGGTTGTGACTTCAGGCCCCATGTCGGGCTCCACGCTAGGCTCAGAGACTCCTTTAAAAAAAAGAGAGAGAGAGAGAACCAATGTTAAGACTAAGACTGATGATGTTAGAAATTGGATCAGTATCCTTCAAAAGGGGAAAGAAAGAACTTATAAATCAAAGAATGTGGAAACAGAAAAAAAATAAGGAATAAGGAAATAGGGAAAATGTGACTGATGGAAGTTACCGGGTGAGTCAATGATATGCGAAGAGTAGGACCTCAAAATTTACCATGACTTGTTTTTAATGAAAGGATCTTGTCTCACTCATTTTTCTTTATCCTCAGAATCTACTGGAGTGCCAGTCACCTGCTGGATACTTGATAGATTATTTCTGACATAAAATAAAATAAGAATCATAGTTTTGGTGGGGGGGAGACATCTGAAGCATCTTGGAAAAGTTGTTACTTTTCCTTTGTCACATTACTTTATAAAATTGTAAAGGAATCAAATTTTAGTTATTCTTTTTTTTTTTTAAATAGTAAGGACCCAGGAAATTGAGCCCTCCATCAGAGCATTGAGATAAAAATTTTGGAGAAGACTTTTTTGTTTGAACTATTTTATCTTCTTTTTTAGATTAAGTTAGAGTATGAAGGAACATTATTTTCTGAGTGGAGTGTGCCAGCAACTTGTTCTGTGAAAAATAAAAGGTAAGATTTTTGCTGTGAATGTCAACATAATGCATGCATTTACACATAAAAACATATTCATATACTGTGGATGTTCAGATTTAAGGCTATGATTGAACGTAAATTTCTTCCCATTACATAAATGTGTAAAGAAAGACAAAAATCTCTTCGAAAAGTAAAAGTAAAATATTGCTATATTTTTTATTTTTCTTATTAACATACAACTGATGTTTTTAGGCTTAAAAAGCAATAGGGGAATTTTTACTAATCTTGTATGTATCTATGCTTATATATCTCCCTGTTCTTTTTAAATACTAGCTCCCCCAAGACAGAACTGCGTTGTTCTTCTCCTGGTGTTCAGACTATAAGACCACTTGTTATTGGCCCAGTAAGTTGATTTTAAAGACAGGTTATTAAATCTTGCATAAGTATCTCTGTTACATTTTATTTTCCTTACTTTGAGCTTTCAACCTGTTTTAAATAGTAGAAGTGTTAAGTATAAATAAGAGGTATTTTTAAATTATTGTTAATACGACAATTTTCAGGTATATCTCATAGCAGATTGTAAGTTAGGAAATGATGGGTGCTTGTGTGGCTCTGTTGGCTAGCCCTCTGCCTTTGGCTCAGGTCATGATCCCAGGGTCCTGGGATCAAGCCCCATGTCGGGGGGGCGGGGGGGGGGGTCCCAGCTCAGTGGGGAGTCTGCTTCTCCCTCTCCCTTTCCCTCTGTGTGCTCTCTCAAATAAATAAATAAATATTTAAAAATTCAGTTATAAAATGATATGTGATTTTTATCTTAGCCTTTTCACCAAGTATGTTAAAGCCCCAGTTACCATCTTAATGATAATAGTACTCCCCACCTAGTGAGTCTCATGTTATATACTTTTGTGACAATTCTCTGGATTAAAAAGCCATCTTTGTCAAGTTTGTTTTTACGATATTTTCTTCAATTCAAGAAAGCATATGTGAATGCAAATACATGAGAGTGATGTTGAATCCTCTCTCGTTACAGAAAAGGAAAGAGTTAAGCATTAAAAACATTGGCTCTCTGCTAATTAGTAACAGGTACTGGCCATGCACCTCATAGGTGATATTCCCACAAAAGTGTGCCCAAAGCCATCGCTGGAGAGACTCCATGTGACAAATCTTTTCTTTATTTGGGGGCTTGTGCCTTCTTTTTAATGAATAATCTTTATTTTCAGATAATAGGTAGAGTGCTATGGGAGAGGCCAGATGAATATTAATTCATTTTTTCAAAACTTGTAGACTGAAAAATAGTTGAATTTGGCTTTTGAGTTTATGAATATTCACCAGGTTCATGGACAAAATTCCCAAACAAGTAAAGGCTTACTCCTTTTGCTTCTGTCGTATGTTGGAAGCCCAAATGTGAAATGTTATATAGAAATTTTGTACAGACAAACATACATATATAAGAATATCTTTGCCATTTATGTATGGTCCCATCAGATCTTACAACCTTTAAGGATGTACATGTGACTTTTGAAATACTCTCAAAAGCACTCAGATACAACAATCAAAATTGTCTCCAGTGCCCCTGGTAAGCAAAATCATCTCTGATTCAGAACCATTAAACAAGAAAATTAATTGAATTGTGTTTTCAGTGAGCAAGACTGTCTAGGAAAACTCACTATTTTCCTTCACACACTCACAGAGAGCACTTCTGTTACCAGATGTGGTGTGAGGGTTGGTTTCCATACGGACTATTTCTGACACCAGCGGAGTATCCTACAAGTCAGAGTTCTGGCATTTTCTGCATGGAGTAACTTCACATCCTACCAGTCAAGGGCTCAGTCCCACAAGACTGCCCCACTTCACATGCCAATTGCAAGTTCCAGTTTGTCACCTGACTGACTGGCTATAAACCGAGGTTCCCACAACCTTATCTTCAGGTTCAATAATGTGCTAGAACAGCACACGGAGCTCAGGGAAAAATTTACCAGTTATAATAATAAATAAATAATAAATATTATAAATATAAATATAATAAACCATTGACTGGTTATAATAATAAAAGATATGATAAAGGATACAAATGAACAGCCAGAAAGGAGGTGCCTAAGGCAAGGTCTGGAAAGGCCTTGAAGCACAGGAGTTTCTGGCCCATGGAGTTGGGCTGTGTCAACCTGCCAGTGGACGTGTTTACCAACCTGGAAGCACTCTGATTTTTATGGGGGCTTCATTCCATAAGCATGATCAATGATTAACTCATTTTCTAGTTCCTCTCCCCTCTCCAGAGGGTGGGAGGTTGAACTAAAAGTTCCAAGCTTCTAATGATGGTGTGGCCTTCATAGGGACCAGTTCCCATCCAGAAGCCCACCCAGGGTTGCCTCATTAGAACAATAGAAAGCTCTATGTCAGACCCTCCTGTCATTCGGGAGATTATAAGAACTGTAGGACCTATGCGTCAGGCACCGGAGTCAAAGACTGAATATTAGCAGGAACTGGGTGAAAAGACACATATATACATGTTTCATTATTTCACAAAGACAAATATAACAGAAACAATACGCTAAATTTGTCACTCATGATAGCAAATTCTTAATTACAAAGAGTAGCTAAAGAATAGAACTAGTATTATATGAATATTCATTAGTTCCATTCTGAAATTTGTTCATTATACTTCCTCTGATCTTAGATATTTAATTTAGTTCCTCTGTGACTCCCATGCCTGTATCCAAATGTGTATTTATTTTAAAGTTACATTTATATATCTTAGTTTATTTTCCATTTTCTTTGAGGATTCAGAAGAAGAACGCAATTTGTCTGTGGACAGTTCCCATATATGTTTCCTGTGGTATTTTAAAGTTATGTAAGTAATGTAATGTAATACTGAATACAAAGCTTTTTAAGAGTATTTAGCTTTGCGTGTCTGGATGGCTCAGTCAGTTAAGCGTCTGCCTTCATCATGATCCTAGGGTCCTGGGATTGAATGCCGAGTTGGGCTCCCTGCTCAATAGGGAGTCTGCTTCTCCCCCTGCCCTTCCCCCTGCTCGTGCTCTCTCTCTCTCTCTCAGTCTCTGTCTCAAATAAATAAAATTTTTTTTTAAAAGAGTGTTTAGCTTTAACTTTGAATTAACCACAAATGGATTATCTGCATTATTATTTTCATATAAGCTTTTCATTCACCAATCAAGATATCCTCAAATAAGATGCCAAACTACTGTTGGGGAATAAACATTAAAAGTAACAGTAGAAACCACCATTTGAACATTACAATTCTAATGTTCAGACTTTATGTAAATTATCTCTTTCAATTTTCATAACAAACACACGACTGTAAGTATTATTATTGTTATTTTATAAACGAGGAAAAGTGAGCTTGGATAGGTTAAATAATTTGTATAAAAATATACAGCTACTAAAAGATAGCACTGGGATTTGACTCTGGTTTTTAGGCTACCGGGCTCTTCGATTTTCATTATATACATCCTGTTCCAAAAGGATGCTCTTTGTTTTGGATAGTTTCTCAAACCCATTTTAACATGAGAGTGAGTGAACATAACTAAAAAGGGAAAACTGGCACAAGGGAAGATAATTAACTGCATTACAAAATTGTTTGACAACTTAAAAGCATCTGTGAATCCAAATATTTTTCACTGTCAAAGTCAAGGCAATATCCTGTATAGAACAATATCCTGTATAAAATACAAACAACTGTCTTACGTGTCCCGGCTCTCCAGAAGACTGTGATGTGTCTATTTCTTTTTGTCTACCCAACTTTCTTTCCTTTGGGAGAACCATCCCTCCCCTATCCTGTGATAAATTAATTTCGTGTGATTTATATGGTACTAACTCCACACACTCACGTTTCCGGGGCCACAGTGATTCGGTGAGGATTGACACATGACCCAGGCAGAATCAGTCAGGATACTCGTGTCTTCAAGAAAGCATAGTTGTTGCTGATGGTTGTCTTGGTTCACATGGTCCCTTAAAGTCAGGTAGCTCTGCAGTTTCTATGCACTTTTTGGATCCACATCCTGATAACTAGAATTTAGCAGGTTGGTCCAGGGGTACACAGTTAGCCATTCCTCTCCGAATTACTTCCACCTTCCCAGAGTCTTACCAAGAAGCAAGGGCTAGGTCTCTGCTATTCCTGAAACTGGCAGACTTCTGTCCTTGTTGTGGGTTTCAGAAATGCCAATTACTAGCTTTCTCCTATGGATTTTGAAACAACTGGGATATAGACAATGGAAAATGTGGAGATAAAAATTCCTGGTACAGCTGAACTGGAGAATAGAGCCTGCTTTTCTGGCCAAATGGGCTATTTTCTGCTTCCCCCAGGTAGGGACCATGGGGACCATCAGAAAAGAGAATCTGCCCCAAAAAAAAAAAAAAAAAAAAAAAAAGCATTTATAGCCAGTTTCCCACATCTCCAATCTCACACATACTGAGTCCCAAGAGCTGGTGAAAGAGATAAGCCTCCAGATTACCCTGATCTGGTTATGGATTGTGAAAGCAAAATCCAAAGCCAAGAAGCGAGAACTCAGTGGGAGCTAAGTGTTTTCCTATTACATAGGTGGTAGAAATGTTCATAGTCTGTCGCCTGTAAAAATACCATTTAAAGAATAAAATGAAACTAGTACCCAGGTAGTCATCACACAAGTCAAGAAATAGAACATGATGGGAACCCTAAAATCTGTTACTTAGAAATGCAGAGGGGCACCTGGGTGGCATAGTGGGTTAAAGCCTCTGCCTTTGGCTCGGGTCATGATCCCAGGGTCCTGGGATCGAGCCCCATCGTGTTCTCTGCTCAGCAGGGAGCCTGCTTCCTCCTCTCTCTCTGTCTGCCTCTCTGACTACTTGTGATCTCTGTCTGTCAAATAAATAAATAAAATCTGAAAGAAAGAAAGAGAAAGAAAGAAAGAAAGAAAGAAAGAAAGAAAGAAAGAAAGAAAGAAAGAAAAGAAAAGAAAAGAAAGAAATGCAGAATCTGGGACTTCATTCCCAAGCTCCTAAATCATTATGTGCATTTTACCAAGATCCAATAGACATTGTATGTACATTACTGCTTAGGACGTACCACTCTAATGCACATAAATGAAAGTTTCTCTAGGATATAGACCTACAGGTAGAACTGACTAAAAGTAGGATATGCATTCGCTCAGCTTTACTAGTTAGTGCCCAATTTCTTTTTGAAAAGATAGTTCTAATCTATCCTCCACCAGCTGTGGATAGAAGTTGCCATTGTGCCATTTTCTCACCAACTCTTAATACAATCTGACTTTTTAATTTGTCAGTCTGGTAGGTGTGAAATTATGCCATTGTGCTTTTTTGCATTTCCCTGATAACTATCGAGCATATTTTCAGTTATTCATGAGGAATTTTTCTTCCCTTTCTGTTAAATGAACATTTTTACCCATTTTTGAGTTATTTTTATGTTTCATAATAATTTATAAGATTTCATTGCATTATAATTACTAGGACATTATCTATACATTTCAACATGTATCTTGAAATAATTTTATCCTAGTTTATGCAACTTTTCACTTCTTATGACTCTACTGATAATTAATATCCTTCCTGTTGTAGAATTTATCAACTCTTAACCTTAATGTGTTTGTGAATTTTTAAATCAATTTAAGAAATCTTTTCCTCCAAGTTTGTAAAAATAGACTTCTACGTTGTTTTCTGAAAGTTCTTAATCCATCTGGAATTAGTTTTTTGCATATGCTTTGAAATAGGGATCCAATTTTATGTTTTTGTCATGAATAATTGATTCTACCAGACCCAGTTATTGAATAAGGTATTTACCAGTAATGCCTACTTTGTCATAGATCAGTTTTCTATGAATGCAGGTTTCTTCCCAGCTGGCTATGCTACTTAAATCAATACTACATTATCTTTATTACTATGGTTTCATTTGCAAATCTTGGTAAGAGGCAGTGCAAGTACCGGACTCTGAATCTAACTCTTGACCTTCTTCAGGCATCTCTTAGCTATGTACTGGGCCCATTTTAACTGCCTGTGAATTTTTAGAATTGGTTTGTCAAATTCCACAAAAACTTTAGTAGGGATTTTTATAATTTGTCTAAATATTTTAATCAATTTGAAGAGTCTTTCAACTCAAGAATAATATATAACTTCCATTTATTTAGGTCTTTTTACATGTCTGCTAATAAAATTTTATAGTTTTTCATGTAAGTGCCTGGACATCTTTATTAGACTTATTCCAAGATGCTTTATAATTTTGTTGCTATTATACTCAATTTTTTATTTAAAGTTGCATTTTCTAACCAGACCTTCCTGTTATATAGAACACAACTTACTTTTGAATATTAATTTTTGTATTACACAGCCTTGCTAAATTCTTATATTAATTCTAATAATTTATTTATATATTCTCTTAGAATTTTTACAAATCACATCACCTACAAATAATGATGGTTTTGTTTATCCCTTTCCAATAACTATGCTTTTTCTTTCTTTCTTCTTAAAAATATTCTATTTATTTATTTGACAGAGAAAGACACAGCAAGAGAGGGAACACAGGAGAGGGAGTGGGAGAGGGAGAAACAGGGTTCCCACTGAGCAGGGAGACTGATGCGGGGCTCAATCCTAGGACCCTGGGATCAAGACCTGAGCTGAAGGCTGACGCCTAACGACTGAGGCACCCAGGTGCCCCTGATTTTTGTTATTTCTATTTTTCTGCTAACTTTGGGCTGTTTGTTCTAACCATTCTGACAGATGTGAGGCAATATCTCATTGTGACTTTGATTTGCATTTCCCTGATGATTAATGGTGTTGGACATCTTTTCATGTCTCCATTGGCCATCCATATGTCTTTTTTGGAAATATATCTATTTGGGTCCTCTGCTCATTTTTTAATGGGATTATTTGGATTTTTATGGTGTTGAGTTGTTTAATATTTTGGATATTACTGTTTGTATTGCTTTGTATATTTTGGTTATTACTGTTACTGGACATATCATTTGCAGATATCTTCTATTATTCAGTAGGCTGCCTTCTTATTTTGTTGATGGTTTCCTTTGCTGTGTCAAAGCTTTTTACTTTGATGTAATCTCAATAGTTTTATTTTTGCTTTTGTTTCCCTCAACTAAGGAGATATATCTATGAAAATGTTTTACTGCTGATAAGAAAGAAATTACTACCTGTGTTTTCTTTTAGGAGTTTTATGGTTTCAAGTCTCACATTTAGGTCTTTAATCCATTCTGAGTTTATTTTTGTGCATGGTATAAGAAAGTGGTCCAGTTTCATTCCTTTACCTGTAGCTGTCTGGTTTTCCCAGCACTATTTGTTGAAGAGATTATCCTTTCTGCATTGTATATTTTAGCATCCTTTGTCAAAAATAATTGACCATAAAAGCATGGGTTTATTTCTAGGCTTTCTGTTCTGTACTATTGCTCTGTGTGTCTATTTTTGTGCCAGTACCATACTGTATTGATTACTACAGCTTTGTAGTATATCTTGAAATCTAGAATTGTGGTACCTCCCACTTTGCTCTTCTATCTCAAGACTGCTTTACCTATTTGGAGTCTTTTGCAGTTCCACACAAATTTTAGGATTGTTTGTTCTAGTTCTGTGGAAAACATTGTTGGTATTTTGATGGTGATTCCACTAAATCTGTAGATTGCTTTGGGTAGTGTAGACATTTTAACAATATTGGTTCTCCCAATCCATGAATATGGACTACCTTTCCATGTATTTGTGTCCTCTTCAATCTCTTTCAATAGTGTTTTACAGTTTTCAGAGCATAGGTCTTTCCCCTCCTTGGTTAAGTTTATTCCTAGATATTTTATTATTTTTGGTTGTAATTATAAATGGGATTATTTTCTTAATTTTTCTTTCTGC